CCTCCTGGTTCCGACAGCAGTTGGTTAATCCATGCCTGGCCCGGCCCCAGCAACACCTGTCGCCAGGTGAGCCAGACCTGCCGCCTGCCCCTTGGGCCCTGCAGCTGTGGCTGTGCCCGTGAAGAGACAGCAGCTCGTAACAGTGGGGCACACAGCAAAGCCAGTTCTGAAGCCTGGCGCCTCCCAAGTGCCTGGGCAGCAGAGCCCCCGCCCCCCAGGACTTGCTGGAGCTAGGGGTCCCTGGCCCCACCCTGAGTGTCCTGAGTGAGGTGCTCTGAGAGGGGCCTGGGGATTTCTTTAAAAAAATTTTTTTTTGTTTTTTAAGACAGGGTGTCACTTTGGAGTTCAGGTTGGCCTTGACCTCAATGTGTAGTCCACGCTGGTCTTCAACTCGAAGCAATCCTCCTGCCTCAGCCTCCAGAGTGTTAGGATTATAGGTCTGTACCACCACACCTGGCAGCTGGGCACCACTGAGCACAGCTGACCAGGAGAAGCCACCATCTGCCTTTGCCCTTGTTCTTGTCTGGTTGTCTTTTAGCCCCCGATGGAGCACTCTTAAAAGGCAGCCCTGGGCTGGGGCAGTTACAGAGAGGCCCCTTCAGGTGCTCAGGTGACTCATCTGTGTGCTGGCCACTGTGGTAGGACATGTGACATTGTGGCTGGCCAGGATGTCATCCCATCCCCTGTTGCCTTAGCCCGGGGTCCATGTTGCAAAAGGCCCAGCTGGACGCGGAGGACCTGGCAGGACCCTGTTGTGCATGCTCGGGGGCAGTGAGAGCCCCTGGGCAGGAAGGGGCCTGAGACAGGAACCCTCTTCCTGGCCACGATCCTGGAATCTGCATCCGGGTTCGGGGCCCCGCCTGACTCCTTCTCTCTCGAGGCAGGAGGAGGTGGGCTGGTAGGCAAGTGAGGCACAGAACAGATGTGCCAGCCCGGTGCGGGACACTCCCCACCTGGCCAGCGACTTCAGCTCCTGGGTCCAGGCTGGGCTGAGCCATGCTGACGGTGGTCTCGGTGGACCCAATCTCCCTGCTCTCCGACTGTCATTGGGGCCTCCTGGGGAGGCCAGTGCCGAGGCAAGGAGGGCCCTAGGCCAGCCAGCCCTGCAAGGGCTGCGTCTCCATCAGGGCCTCTCGCACCTCCCTGCCCAGGGCCTGTTGCCAGCGCACCCAGAGGCCTCTTGTGGTCTCAAAGTCAGTCCTGGCGGCCCTGGAGAAGAGGTTCCGCAGGGGGAGGCAGAGGCACTGTAGAGATCGTCCATCCAGCCCCTTTGACAGGCAGGAAAACTGAGGCTGGAAGAGCAGGGTGTGAGGCTACAATGTGGGCTGGGTAGATCCGACTACTCATGGCATTTGGGCTGCTCTGCCCCGGCCTCTGGAGTGGGCCTGGATGTCCTTCACACACACTGCCTACCATGTGGTCGGCTCTGTGCAGGGGGCGATTCCGAAGCTTTTTTTTTTTTTTAACTTATTTTTAAGTTTATTTAGTTACTTTATTTTTTGGTGTCCCACCTCCAAGGAGCCCCTTATTTATCTTGTAAACACCAAGGATTCTTGAGGACAGGTCATTCACACCCAGGCACACGATCACACCAGTGCTCCAGTCTTCCACGGGGACCAGGGAAAAGTGAAGGTGAAATCTCTCAGTATGAGTCAGTCCCGGAAGCCATTGTAAGGTGCCCGCTGTTTACATAAGAGGAGGAAAATATGTGTGTGAAGGGAAACGCTAGGCTTTCTGCTCATCTCCCCTCTGTTCTGACCTGAGGAGATGACCTTAACCTTAAGAACTGTGGGCACAGACAGACAAGGTGAAGTGACAGGTGATCCCAGCACTCTGGGAAGCTGAGGCAGGAGAATTGCAAGTTTGAGCCAAGTCTGGGTAGCTTGGCAAGACCCTGTCTCAAAAAATAAAAGGGCTGGGGATGTAGCTTGGTGCAAAGACTCTGGGTTTAATCCCCAGTACCTCAAACAAAATACCCCCAAAACCTCAGGTGTGATGCTTCTTGAAACTGGGAGGGACGAAGAGAAGGTGGCATTGGTCTCAGCAGCTAGGACTCTGGTGATTTGGGGTGGGGCCTGTGTCTGGTGTCCTGCCTGCTGGACTCATCACCAGGACGCGCTCAGGAGGTCTCTGCAGCCAGGGGCCCCTCCCACTTTCAGGTGGGTCTGGCAGGAGGGCGTCCGGCCGGACTTACTGTCTCTCCCCTACCTCCTTCCTTCCAGATCCGCCTGCGGAGGGCAGAGCGGGAGCCTTTCTGTCCTGGGGGAGGAACGTGGCTACTGCTGACAGCTGCTTTTGGGGCTCTGCAGCCGGCTCCTTCCTCTTGCCTGCCACTCCCCTGACACATTGTGGTACTGGCCTCAGGGCTGCCATTCCCTGCCAGAGGACCCTGTCCTAGCCAGGTCCTCACAGGTGCACCCCAGTGCTCTCACATCGCCCCGCCCAGTCTAGGAAATCGTAGGCGTCCCCTGGGCCATCTGCTCCACCCCCAGCCAACCCAACACCATGGCTGGCTTTGATACAGACAACCATCCCCATTGACCTTGGGCTTGGTGTCAGACGTGGGGGCACAGACCCATCCTCCGCCCTCTGGGGGCGGGGTCCTCTGGCCCCATATGGATGAGGGTTCTTAAGAATGGGACTGGTTGTTACCCATGCCCTTGATAAACTTTTGTACCTGGGCGTGGGGATGCACACCTGTAATCCCAACACTCTGGGAGACTGAGGCAGGAAGATTGAAGGTTTGAGCCCAGCCTGGGCATCATAGCAACTTGGTAAGACCTTGTCACAACGTAGAAAATAGAGGCCAGGATGTAGCTCTGTGTGATCGCCCTGGGTTCCATCTGTAGTGCTTTTCAGTGGGGCTGACTCCTGTTGTACTAGGGTACATCTCTCCCGGAAACGTCTGCGTTTGACTGGAGGCAAACTTAAAAATGCCTGAACCCTCAGGTCTTCTCCCCGGATGGGAAGGTTGTGCTTTTTGCTTTGCAACCCTTCTACCCTGAGCTTTGAGAAGACAGAGACAGAATTTGTTTAAAGAAAGGAACAGACACCTGCCTCCCCCTCCCTACCCGTCTGATCCTGAGGTTGGAGAAGGATCGATTGCCTGCTTGGGAGTGAGCCGGAACACTCTGGGTTGGGCAGGGGACGAGGGGCAGAGATGAGGTGTGCAGCCTGCAGACCAGACTCAGGGGCTCCTCCGGACAGAGCAGAATCCTGGCCTGAGGCACCAGGACAGTGGTGATGTGGAGGCTGCAAGTCCCTGTGGTGGAAGGGAACAGGGCATCTGATCTCACACTAAGGATGGGCTAGCGGCTGTCCCGGGACAGCATGGCTGCCCTTTGGTTTTCTTACCTGGCGACCAGACCCTGAGTGGGAGACTCCCCTGACCTCTCAGGACCCTTGCCTGTGTGCTGAACCCCGGGGCCGGAAGTAGCTTTACCCTGGTTTGCAGCCCAGTTCTGGTTTAGCTTGGTGGCCTGGTTGTGGCTGGCCCAGCCGTCTCCTAGAAGCTTTTCCGGGTCCCCACCCCACTGCTGCACGGCTGGGGGTGGGCTGTGGACAGTGAGTGTGTGCAATGCCCCAGACCCCACCACCCCAGTAAACTGCCCGGTCGGTGTGGCCTGCGGCCCAGTCACAACTGAGACTCCATGCGTGTGGGTCAGGGCAGGCAGCGGGGACCTTCTCTGATTTCTTTCCGGCCTGCAGCAGAGCTCCTGCGGGATTATTGCTGGGCCCCACTCAGGTCTCTGGTTCATGGTCCTGGCTGGGGGCTGTGGTTCACAGCTCCTGGGGGTGCTGAAGCTGCTGGTGAGGGCAGAACATTTAGAACCCTGCAGTCTCCCCCTGAGCCCCTTCCACACTAGTGGGCTGCATGGTGACCCCCAAAAGATGCGCTGAAGCCCCAGTCCCTCAGCACTGTGGAAACATTACTTGGGGTAAGGTCTTCATGGAGGCCCCTGTGATGAGGGCCCTGCATAGAATGCCTGGTGTCCTTACAGGAGGAGAGTCGCACAGAGAAGGAGAGGTGTGAAGGTGACACAAGGGTTAGAATGACGAGGCCACAAGCCAAGGAGGGCCTGCAGCCCCCAGAGGCTGGGAACATGACCCTGTCAACTCCTGGCTTTTGGACGTGTGACTCAGAACCTGAGAATCTGCAGTCCTGAGCCATCCAGATTGTGGCGGCTCAGCGTGGCAGCCTTAGGAGACTGGCAGAGCCTCCATGTGCAGCTATTAGCAGTAGCTGCTCCTGCCGCTGAGCTATTCCGAGACCTCAGCTTGCTAAGTTCAGGCAGCTGAGCCCCATCCGTTGGGGCCAGTGCTAAGGGGAAACAAAACTGGAAGATCTCGTTCACATTTCCTGCCATTTCTTCATAAAGTGAGCCAGGAAATCTTCTGGAACACACGTAGGCCTGAGTGGGCTGCGTCCAGGGAGCCTGTATCTCGGAGAAGCATCTCTCCAGGTCTTGTCTGGAGGTGGTAGCCTCAAAGGCTGCTTGGACTGAGCCAGCAGTGCCAGCTGTGCAGAGGGTGCTCTAGTGACTTGTCATGGGGCTGGGTCCTCAGAGACCAAACCTGCTCTGGCCTGCAGAGGGGTGCAGGGGGCAGGCAGGAGGCTGAGTGGTGTCAGTAGAGCTGCCTGCCCAAGAGGTCTGTTCATCAGTGGCAGAAAGCGGGTGGTGAGCTTGAGGGTCACCTGGGCATTGTCTCTGACCCAGTGGGCACAGCTCTGGGCTGGCTTCGGACACCCAGACCACGAGACCCAATGGGACTGACCTCTGGCTGTTGTCACACGAAGGGGCAGAGGCCCATGTGAAGCGCTCTGTCCTGCCCAGCTCCTCCTCTCACCTGGCCAGAGCTTGCTCTGTGGTGCAGCGAGAGAGGAAGTTCTGTGTTTCAGGGGGGCTGGTGCTGCAGATGGGGGGGCCGTGCGCTCTGCTCCCCGCTGGGCACTGCCCTCTGCTGAGTCTGCACACAGCTGAGTCCTGAGTCCAGTTTTCTCCGGTGAGGAGACCCAGGCAGCAGCACCCATTTGCAGACCCAGCAGCCAAGGACGTCCCTGGTAGCCAAGCTGGTGCCTGCTGGGTCTGGGGTGCACTGGCATCACCCCACCTTACAAACCCATGAGATGCCAGCATGCAGAGCCAGCTTGGGTGGTGGGAATGGTGAGTGGTGTCCTGCTAGCAGTGGGCTGGGTGCCCAGAGGTGATTTGCATAGAGATTATTTGCATATGGGTGTCGGATCTGGAGTGCTTTAGAGGTAGGGCCAGGTGGAGGGTCAGGTAGGAGGAACGCTGGGAGAGCGACTGTGGGGGTGCATGCAGTTCCTGGGCAGGCCAGTGGAGGGCAGCAGCGCTCCAGCAGCACCTAGCGGGCAGCCTAGTTCTCTAGCCAGGCCCTGCAGAGAGGCAGCGGCCCCACCTGGAACACTTCCTCGCCTTCTTTGCTAAGGTGCCTCTGCCTCACGATCCCTTGTTGGCCCCAGGGATGGTGTGAGCATCCTCCAGGCGTCCCAGCTTTGGCTCCCTCTCTGGTGCTCGCTCTTTCTCTGCCTTCTGGGAGCCTAGGGGGTCTGTGTGGTGGCCGGGATGGGTGTCCAGCTCTGGCATGGGGTCCACAGTCAGCCCTGGCTGAGATCTCAGCTCCTAGCCTCTGTGGGGAGTGGGAATTATGAGGGAGGCTGCTGCCTGGCACCCCTGTGGCACACAGATTGCCCACCTAGGTGGTCCTGCCCGGGCTGCAGGCGTGGTGAGGGAGCGCCCCTCTGTCCCCCTGGAAACTTGAGGTCCCTGGCCTGACACCTGCAGTGGGAATCTGGGTGCTGGGGAGAGAGGGTGGGCATGTCCATCCTGGGTGATCTGTGGGGGTCCAAAGACTTACTGTGGATATGTGATCCACTCTTCCAGGTTCCCCAAAAGTCCAGGTCTTGGTGCAGCCCAAGAACCCCCTGCCTAGTGTCAGGTACATGATCGAGAAGAACCATTTGCAGGGCAAAGAAATGAGGCTGCACACCCGGGCACATAGGTGTTAGCCAGGGGCTCCACTTAGCAAACACAACTAAAGCCCTGTTGTGGAGCGGGTGGCTGGCCAGGCCAAGGTGCATGGCTCCAAACCGAAGTGGGCAGAGGGGGATCAGGTTCAGCTGTGCCCCACAGTGGCGGGGGCTGGTCCTGCCTGGGTCTCCGCAGTGTGACCTACACGGTCCCCTGGGAGTGCCGGCTGCTTCTGTCTCCCTGGCACTGGGAATCTCATCGTCCGGTGTAGAGTGTGGCATGGGAGATCCCTGTTGCTTGCTTCCCCACAAGGACGAGGGCTTTATTTTCTTCGTGGGGGAGCCCCTGTGCCCAGGGTAGAGCTTGGCATTTAGTAGGTGCTCAGCGATTGACAGACTAAATGGATGGGCGGATGGAAGAGTGTATGGATGCCTGCTGCTGTACAGCCTCGGCTTCTGGTCGTGCTGTGAGCCTTGGTCCCACGCCCCGCTGTGGGTGGGGCACAGAGGCTCTAGTTCGCTGTTCTGTGCTCTGGGGGTGTTGACAAGAGGGCAAGAGGCACCTGAGCCCATGGAGGGCAAGTGCACGTGACCCTCAGTGCCAGGCCAGGATCGAGTGGACCCTGGGCATCCTCGGCTGCCCGTGGTGACCGGGCAGGGTGTGCTTTGTGTGTGGTTTATCCCCGCACCCATGTGTCCTTGCCTATGTCTTACAGAAGAGGAAAATGAGGCACCGAACATTCTAGTCCTGTCTCCCCCCACAGCATTAACATCCCAACCTGTGCACTCCTGGACTGGTGCCTCCAGGAACCAGACCCATTCACTCTGGCCACTCACGGGCAGAGGGACTCCATTGATGCCGGAGCAGATTGCACGTAGGTGGGGAGTCTGAAGGTGGTGACTGCACCAGGGTTGCAGTGAGAGGTGAGGAAGGAAGGGTGAGAGGTCCTGTATCTCAGCTCTGATCTTGGGGGAAGGTGGCAGGGCTGGGTACTAGGGACGGAGCAGGTGCCTGGTGCAGGCATGGGGTGGGAGCGCCGGGTCCCTTGAGCGAGTCACTTGCTCCTTTAGGCTTCAGGGTTCACAGCCCAGCAGAGTCGCCTGTGGGAAGCACTTACCCCCGTCAGATGCCTTTGGCATTTTTGTGAGGTGCCAGGAATGTTTGGGGTGCTTGGGACCGGATGGTCTCGCTTTCCACCTGGCAGGTCATTTTGCTGCATAACTAAGACGCAGTGACTCCGCGTGACCGAGGGCATGCAGGACGGTGATCTCTGTTCCGGCCAGCGGCGGTGGCCAGGAGCCAGTAGAGGGGAACTCCAAGTTGGGTGAGAGGAGCATAGACGTGAAGCTAGCTGTGCCCAGCTGGCGTGGGCAGGAAACGCTTCTGTGAGGCTGAGGGCCAATGCCCTTGCAAGAGAATCCTGGGCTCTATTTTCCCGTTTCCCCCTAGAACAAAGTCTCCCCTTCCAGCTGACTGATAACGTGGCAGGCAGCAGTGACTCCCTCAGCACTGTGGCAGGGATCCACTCGCCTCCCCTGGGCCCTGGGTGTTGTCTGGACTCACTGGGCTGCTGTAATGGAGCACTGCAGGCTGGGGCTTTAGACAGCTCACATTTCCCCACAGCTCGGAGCCAGGTTTCCCGTGTCCTCTGAGGGTGCTGGGGAGGGTTCTTCTTGTTTCTCCCAGCTTCTGTGGCTCCTGGTGGTCTCTGTCACTCCATGGCTTGTGGCTGTATCACTCTGACCTCTGCCTCCTGTCACCTGGCTGTCTTCCCTGTGTGCCTTGGTCCATGTTTCTTCTTACAAGGGTGCCAGGTATGTTGGGTTTAGGGCCCACCTACTCTAAAGTGACCTCAGCTTAATTGGATCCATGTACCCCTATTTCACCAAGCACAGTGGCACACAGCTGTAATCTCACCTGTTTGGGAGGCTGAGGCAGGAGAAATGTGAATTTGTTGGCCAGTCCGTGCAGCTTAGTGAGACTCTGTCTCAAAAGTGAAAAGGACCAAGGATGGAGCTCAGTGGTGGAGCACTTGCCTACCCTGTGCAAGGCCCTGGATTCCATCCTTATTGTTGCAAAAACAAGCACCACCACCCCACCCCTACCCGCCGCGCAATTCCAAATTAATTTATATTCTGCAGTTCTGGTGGACAGGCATCTGGGGGAACACTTTATCCTGTGCAGCTGCTTTCTTTGACCAGCTGGCAGATTTTCTCCTTGCTTTATACGGTGAGGGCTTGTGCCTGGCATCTCCTTGAATGGCCATGTGCTAGACACCAGGAGGGAGCAGGTCAGACAGTGGATGAGGGATCAAGGGCAGGGTGGCTTTGGTGTCAGATCTCCTTGGCCCTGCCACAGGTAGTTGTTTGGCCATGGACACGTTATTGTACTCTCTGACCCCAGTTTCCAGGTCTGTGGGATGGGCCTGTACTTCCCTCTGCCGCAGCAACAGTAGATGATTTTGAAGCGAATGGGGATATGACAGAGGTGGTTTGTGCAGGATCAGCAGTAGCATGTTCTGTCTGTGGCCTGTTGGCTGTGCCTACTTTTATACCTTGGTGGCTTTATTAGCTTTCCATTGTGGTGACCAAAAGAACCCGAGAAAACCCACTTCGAGGAGGAAAGGTTTATTCTGGCTCCTGTCCATTGCATTAGCCTTGAGGTGAAGCAAAATCATCATGGTGGAAGGGTGTGGAGAAGGAAAGCCACTCACCTCATGGTGGCCAGAAAGCAAGGAAGAGAGAGAGAGAGCCAGAGAAAGGGGAAAGGGCAGGGGATGAGGATCACCTTTCTCGGAAGGCACATCCCTAGTGACCTTCCTCCAGCAGGACCTCACCTCCTCCTAGGCCGTCCAGCTGTGGAGTCACAGGTAGGTTAATTCATCGGTGAGGTAGATGCTGGTGTGATCCAGTCACCTCAGCACACAAGGCTTTGGAGGACACTTCATACTTCAACCAGAACAGTGGCTCCTCTGTGGACGGGAGTGACCAGTCTGTCCAGCACCAGCTTGTGAGGATGAGGAGAAGCGGGTGGTCCTCCCTGGGTCCTGGCCTTGATGAGTGTGGCCTCTGGGTCTTGGTTGGCAGGAGCTGGCCAAGGGATCTTGAGTGTATAGATCTCATCCCTTCCCTGGGTACTTGGTCTGCTCCGTGGGTTCTGTTGCCATTCTTAGCAGAGAAACAGGTCACTGTCACCTTGACCAGCCACATCATGGGGATGGGACTGTCTTGGCCTGGCAGCCTGTGTGGAGCTGGCAGTGGCAGATGTGGGGCTTTGGGCATGAGGGGCACCTAGGAGCTTCTCTTTCTGGTGCTGGGCAGCAGCAGCCACACCCAAGGAGGCCGCCGGTCTGTGCGCGGTGAGAAGACAGCCCCGGAAGAGTGTGACCCAGGTTGCTGATGTCCACGCCACGTCATCAGGAGTGCATGTTTCCTTGCACCTGGCCCTCCTCTGTCCTGAAAAGAGGCCCTGTGTGGGTAAAGGTGCTACCACTTTCATAAGACTCCCTGTGCGTGCCCTGACTGCCACGTCAGCTGGCAGGGCCTGTGAGCCCTATGGCTTTGCATGTCCCTGGTCTGGGCCTCTCTCTGTCAAACAGCTAACGATCCCTGAACAAATGGTGCAGTGTCCTCGGGGAGCCCCCGTCTGAAGGGCCCCGCCGTGGGTCCTTTGTAACATGAGCCCTGGCCCATTGGGTTGGGGTTTCCATGGCTTGGTGGGGCACACCTGTGGTCAGCACCCCCACCCCCATCTTTTAGTCGGTAAGACAACTCCGGCCCTGTCGAGCCCCTGGTGCCCCCGTGGCTCATTCACCTGGCACCAAGAGGCAGTGAGTAACCAAGAAAGGCACTTTTGATCTCAGGAGGCTGGTGCTTTTGCCAAGAGCCCCAGACATCTCTGCCTGGCTCCAGCCCAAGCCAGCTTCTCAAAGAGCCCTTCCTTCTAGAGAAACTACTGGGAAACACCTTTGAAAAATGGCTTTCTGCAGTGGGTTGGAGGGTGGGAGACCCAGCCCCAGGCTCCTCCTTGGCTGCCAGCCTGAGTCCCAGGACACAGGGCCATATGGCAGGTCCAGAGTTTAATCTAGGCCCTGACATTCCAGCACAGTGGCCCCAGAGGCCCTGATTCCTGAAGCCACTCCTCGTGTCTGCCAGCCGTGTCCTCATGAACTTGGGGTGTGCGGGGGGACTCCACACTCAGCTGACCTGGAAACCTCCACAAGTGTTAAAAATCAAGTGCAGGACCGTGGAGTCCTGCCCACTGCTGGTCCCTGCTTTAGTGATGCCCCGTTGGACCACTTCTCTGGCTCTCAGGCCCTGGATAGGGACTTAATTTTGTCCTGTTCATCCAGGCTGATTATCTTTAATAAGGCCATCTTGAACATTTCCTTGTAAGCTCATTTTAAGGAAATGTTTGCGCATTAACCATTTTCCCACAGCTGGGAGACAATGTGCTGTCCCTTGCCAAAGCTTACATTTGTGTCCTCGGTGTCCCTGATGCTGGAAGGTGAGGCTGGAGCGCGGCCAGGCCAGTGCTGCCAAGCCCTGCCATCGATCACCTTCAGGGTGGGTGTGATTAATAACTGGCGTGGAGGGCGGCCTGTGCTTGCCTGGCTCTGGGCCTCGCGTGCAGAGGGGCTCTGCGTGCAGGGCCTGGGGGTGGTGGCTGGTGGTGGAGGGGCTGCTTGCAGGCCTCAGGCAGGTGGTTTGAGAGGTGGGGCTGGCTTGGCCACTGCCGTGTGCACTGCCACCTGGGCCTGCGCTTAGCCCTTTGCCAGCACTTCCTTTGCCTGGCTCGGTGCCCGGTGCGGCCCTTTGCTTTTCCAGTTTATCCAGATCCACAAGGCCAAAGCAGACTGTCCAGGCCCCAGGGCCCTGCCAATCCTGCCACCCAGTCCTTGGTGGGAAGATGCCTCCTGGCGGTTCTCTGAGCCTGCGGGCACAGCCCAGTGGGCAATGAGCCTCTTGTCCTCTGTGAACTGGCGCCCACCTCCCCACCCCGCCGCCCTGCAGGAGAAGCCACAGGCTCTAGCAGTTGGGCCCGGGCTCAGCAATGGGGTCCGGCTGCACGGACAGCCAAGTGGGAAAAGCAGGCTGCGTTGTGGCGGGGGACGTTCAGGGACTCCAGCTTCTGGGTGGGAGGAGGAAGATCCCAACCATGAACCCCTGCCGAAGAGATCTCTGTCCTGACTGAGAGGGAGGGCAGGGGCCAGTGCAGCCTGGGAGAGGTGGCTGTGAAGCCCGGTCCATGTCTGAGAGGCAGGGGTGGGGCCGATGCCTGGGAACAGTGAACATTCTGGGGACACTGCCTGCTCAGAGCCAGAACCACGTGGGTAAGGCCACTGAGCTTTCAGGGAGTGTTTTCCAAATGGGCAAGGCCCTGAGCTTTTAGGAAGTGGAGAACTTTGAAGCTGACAGGCCTGTAGTGACTGTGGCATGGGATCCCCATGTTGCAGCGGCTGAGCCCTTCCGTGTGGCAGGAGCAGCTCCTGCTGGGAGGGGACCTGGCCAGTGGCTTCGACCTGGAAGTTCATCTGGGGCAGGTCCGAGGTTCCTCACAGTGCAGACCCCAGGGCCCCGTGTGCCGCATTTGGGCCAGAAATGAGAGGAATGGCCCTGCCATCCCAGTACTCCTGTGAGTGTCGGCCGAGCTCCTTGCCGCCCTAGGATGCTGCAGTGAACCCGGCAGGTGCAGCCCAGATGCCGCCTGGGGTGACCCAGCCCCTTCTGCCTCTTGGTTCTGCATCTGGGAGACGAGAACCCTAGGCCTCGACTCAGAGCAGCTGGGAGGGTCCCACCAGGCCCCACCTACCTACCCATCTGGGGAGAAGGACCTTTCACCCACCCCTCACCTGTGCCAGCCTCCCCTCACCCATCCCATTCACCAGCATGGAGGCTGTGAACCTCCAGTACTTTGTAGACCT